TGTCCCCCTTTGTGCTGGACCTTGTTGAACCTGGCTTTCCCTTGCTGCTGCGTGGACTTGCCTGGATTGGAAGTCTTTCGCTGGTGTCGGATTGTGTGCATTTGGATCTGATGTTGCCCTCGAGAGGCTGTGCTCGCACTGATTCAGCCTTGCCAGTGCTGCAGGGGGTGTCGCTTGGTTCCCCGCTGTTGCCGCGAAGTGCAGCATGCACTGGCATAGCTCTTCCAGCACTGGACGGTGTTCAGCCCGGCTCATCCCTGCTGTTGAGGGGAACGTCACAAATGGGGCTTTCTTTGCTGGCCTTGGACTTTGCAGCATGTAGCTCATCCTTGTTATTGCGCTGCTTTGCTTACACAGAGCCGGTTTTGCCAGTGCTGGGTGCGAGTTGGATGGGTGCTTCACTTCCAGTGGTAGGTGTTTGCGAGTTGGGACCACCCTTGCCTCCGCACGGCTGCGCAAGGCCAGGCTTTGCAGCATTTGTCTTGGACTGTTCGTCGCCAGGTTTGCTGCCACTGCTAAGAGGAACGGCATGCTTGGGTTCCATGCTGCCCGTGCTGGATTCTGTTGAATCGGGCTTCTCTCTGCTTTTGCGCGGATGTTCGCGTTGTGGCTCTGCAATGTTGGCCTTGAGCTTCGTGCAGTCCGGCTTGCTCCTGTTGCTTCATGGCTTGTCGCGGGCAGAGCTTGCCCCGCCAGTGCTGGAAGCTGCCAGTCCAGATTCGTCCTTGTCCTTGAGAGGCACGGCTCAGCTTGAATTGGCCGTTCCAGTTCTGAGCTTGACTTCACTGGATAGTTCTTCGCTTCTGCAGGGAGCAGCTCGGCCTGATATTGCAGTTTTTGTCTTAGAGGCTTCAACACTTGACTTTTCGCCTCCACTTCGCGGATGTGTCCAGGTTGACCCTGCGGTGCTGTTGTCAGGCGTTGCAAGTTTGGGGCTATCTCTACTTTTAAGGGGATCATTGCGAACTGGGGTAGTTCTTCCGGCCTTGGGTGCCGTTCAGCTAGAGGTCGCGCCGCTGCCAAAAAGCCGCTCACATACAGGCAGTATTTTGTTTGTGCCTGATTCCGTCCAACTCAGCCTACCGGCCTCATCACAGAATTTTGCACAAGCCGAATCCCTGATGCTGCCGCCAGGAGAAGCCCGATTTGGACTTTCCCTGCTTGCCTTGGGATGTGGATATCCCGGATCATCTTCACTTTCAAAAGGGTGCGCCAGACCCAGTTTCGTCATGCTTGTGTTGGATTCCACTCATTCAGGACTTGTCCTGCTGCTGAGGGGGTTGGCTTGGCCAGGATTTGGGATGCTGGCGTTAGATTTCGTTGCCCTGGAGCCACTCTTGACATTGCAGGGCCGCTCAAAGATAGGCACTCTCCCATTTGTGCTTGACCACATACAGTCGGGGTTTTCTTTGCCTCTACGGGGTGCATCTCAGTCAGAAATCACCTCGCCCGCGTCGAGCCTTGCACATTCTGATTCACCTTCACTTTTGCACAATCTTGCTCAACTGTCATCTTTGGTGTTTGTGTCGGGTGCAAGTTGGATGGATGCCTCCCTTCCTGCCCCTGGTGCTGCCACATCAGGTTTTTTGCTGTTTCCGCGGGGCTGCCACTGCTCAGGTAGAGCACTTTCTGTACCTGACGCAACAAGCCCAGCATTGTGCTCATCACTAAAAAGTACTGCAAGGCTTGGAAGTCCACTGCTAGCTTCCGACAGCGCCTACTCTGGCTCTGCTTTGCTGGTGCAAGGCTGCTTGAAGTCAGGTTTTGCTTCCTGTACTCAAGTAAACCACCTAGTGGGAAGCACACCATTTGTCACTGGAATTACCTGATCGGAAGGCCTCCTGTTTGTGTTGTCGTTTGCGCATTCAGAATTCTTTCCTTCCTTGCAAGGTTATGCTTGCCTGGAGTTCACGTTGCCAGCATTGGATTGTGTGAATCTTGGTCTGCTGCTGCTTCTGCAGACTGTGTCTCATCCTGGCTTGGCCTCACCTGTGATCGGGGCTGCAAGTCTCGAACTGTCAGTTCTTTTGCAGGGCTCCAGTTGTCTCGGCGCCACGGCTTCTGTTCTGAGTGTGACGCATCCAGGCTTTCTGCTATTTCTTCGAGGTGGTGCGCAATCTGGCCTGGTGCTACTGGCTCCTGAGATGATGCAGTTGAACCCAACCCTGCTTGTGAAGAGCTGCACCTGCTTGGATAGTTCTGTTTCCGCGTTGCGCTACGCTTGCTCGGGCAGTTTACTGCCGTTGCAAAGCCCTGCACGACTGGCTTCAGCTGTCTCTGTGTGCAGCTCAGTGAGGCTCGATTTGGTCCTGTTGGTTCCTGACCCTGTGCAATCAGGACCACTCCTTCTATCGCATGGCGTTGCTTGACTTGAGTTTCTTTTGCCTGCGCCCTTTGTAGCATCTTTGGGTTCGGCTTCGTTGCTGAAAGGATTGGGCCGCATAGACGCCCTGCTTTCTGCATCCGACTTCACATCTACTGGCTTAGCTTTATTGCTTCAAGGCTTGAGCCACATTGGTTTTGCACTGCTTGCCTCAGACGTGGTCAGCTTAGAGTCCTCTCTGTCATCACGTGGCTGTGCACGTTGTGGATTTGCTTCGCTCGTTCTGGATTCTGTGCAGTCTGGACTATTGCTGCTGTCGCGAGGTATGGCGTGTGCAGGAACACTTGTGCTAGCTACGGGCCCTGCTTTCACGGGCTCGTCACTGTTGCTGCAGCAAGTTGCCTGCCTTGGCGCGCTCCTGCCCACCATTGGCACCTCACGTTCGGATTCGCTTCTTTCAGTTTGTGGCGTTGCCAGTTTGGGTTTCTTGCCGTTGCCGCAAGGTGCTGCTTGCTCGGAAGCTATGCCACTGGTGTCTGACTGTACAAACTCAGATCTTCCGTTGTCAGCGCAAGGATGTGCCAAGGCAGGATTGATCCTGCTTGCTCTGGACTTGGTAGCTTTTGGCCTATTCCTGTCATTGCGAACCACCACTTGGTTGGGCTTGGGCTTGTTGGTGGTTGGCGCAGTGCGAATGGAGTTTGTGCTGCCAGCTCTAGGCACGGGCAGCTTTGGATTCTTATCATTGCCCCGGGGAATTTCCAGGATTGATTTGGCCACGTTTGTGCCGAGCAGCATGCACCTGGGGCTTCCGCCTTCGCTGCACGGCCTGGCTCAGTTGGGGTTTTCATTGCCAGCGCCTGAAGCAGTTTCCCTAGGCCTTACCTTATTGCTGCGAGCAGTGATGCGCATGGACGTCGTTCTGTCAGTACCAGATGGTGTTACCTCTGGCCCAGCACTGTCACCGCAAAGCTCTTGCTGTATCGACCTGGCCTTACCTGCTTTGGATGTTGCAAGTCTTGGG